GTGCAACCCTGCAGGCTCATAGAGTGTAAACAGTAACTATGTCGGTCCTCTTTAGCTTTAATGAAAGGAGAAAAACTGACAATGTCCCAGCCGTCTTAAAAAATTTGTTGTAACCTCGTCAGTGTGAGCTTCCAACACGTCTGCAAAACGTTCACCTAGAACACGTGTCAGACACATGTGGCCCGCAGAGCATTTTTATGTGGCCTGCGGATAAATATCAAAAATATATTAAAACAGACCTGCTGGCCGATTTTACAGCAAAGACTACAACTCCTATGATGCTTTGCGGCGTTAGCGCGCAGCCGAAGTGCCCCCTCCTTTGTGTTTTTTCCAGCGTCTGCTGCCGGTGTCTGCAGCTCCGCTGTCTCGGACAAACTAAACATTCCTCTCACTCAGCGCCGAGTTTACTCAGCTATTTTCTGACATTGAAGCCCAGAAACAGAGATTTTAACCGCTCAGTAATGCGTTCACGACTGAAAGAGAAAGTTTTACAACTAACTTCCAGACAGAGCTGATATAACTCCAGCAAGCAGTGACGCGCTCAAATCAGCATGACTCTGTGGCTGCTATAGTTGTTATTTTTCCTCCTCGACACCGTGTCCTGATAGAATAGAAAATCCCTTTATTGTTCCTCAGTGGGGAAAGCTAGATGTCACAGCAGTGATGACACTTATTACAGGAGAAAAAAGGAGAATAAAAAATAAGAAAAATGAACAAACAAGAAAACAAATCCTGAATAGATTTTAAAAATGCTGAATATACCACAAGTAATGAATACCACTGATGCGTTTTATTTAAAACGGACTTGCTCGTGTGTAATTTGGTTATTCCACATTCAGTGTTAATGCAAAAATAAGTTTATTTCCAAATTAAAAGGTTCAAAATTGCATTTATGTTGATAAAGAAAATGTGCTAATTTGCAGTCACTTTTTCAAAAAATATTAAGTTCGGCTCGCGACTTTGTCCCAGATTTTCATTTGGGCCCAGAGTGAGTTCGAGTTCGACACCCCTGGTCTAGAAGATCCTCACCTGGACGACTGCTTTGCTGCCAATCACCTCCAGGACCTGCCCACTCCTCCTGGTGCCGTCTGGCAGAGTCAGATGAACAATCTCAGCATATCTGGGAAACTAGTTCAGAGATTTGACACCTTTAGTCCAGTAGCAGCAGATGAAGTTTCTGACAGTAAACCAGCTGGCTGATGGTGGATGAAGCTCTGCATTTAGAGCCGATTCTGCACAGGTGGTCTCACCTTTACGTTATCCAAGATCACCAGGGGCCCGTTTACTCCCGACACGGTGGAGTATGCTGAAACAAGAGTTACACACTCAGAAACACAAAAACCAGAGCTGATAATGATCATAATATGTCAGATTTCACTGTGGGATCAAAGGTTAAAGCCAGGAAACAAAACCTGACCTTTAAGTTTCTGGGGTTCATGTAACACCCATGAAGTCACTTCTGAACTGAAACGCTAAGTCTCAATGACGTCTGAAAACCGTCTCTCTGCACGTCCTGTGACTGCATCTAGGCCACTTCTAGATGGGTTCTAGATGGCTGCAATTACTCAGTGACTAAACAGAACATTTGAGAAACTGAAAAATCTCACAAGCATTTTTGAGACATTCATGAAAACTCTAAGGAGCGTGTCACTGCCTGGTGAGGGTTAGGCGACGCTGCTCAGGTATCTGACCCATCAGTCAGGCTGATATCAAAGGTGTCGGAGATCAGAGCAGACTGAAGCAGACGTGAACCAGTAAAGCTTAGTAGGGAGTTTCTATTGTGCCACTAATTAGACATGAGCCACCAACATAACACACTCAATCCATGAGGCTGGGAGCCTCTGTGTGTGGTGGTGTGGAGGCGGGGCTTAACGGGGCCAAGGGCACCAACAAAAAATTAGATGAAGACATAAACAAGGACTTGTTGGTTCCTGTAGCAGTTTTATCTAAGCTAACTTACTGAAGGTTTATCATGTTTAATTCCATCACACGAGTTCATCTTTAAGATGTTCAGACTTTTAAAATGGTTTCGATCTCGATTCCACTGATCAGACTGTACCCAATTCCAAAAATCTAAATAAAATTAGCACATTTAAAGCTTTACTTATAACCAACTATACCTGGACTATTAGCACAGCTGTGATCCATCTGAAGACATTACTGGAGAGGACTGACGGGCATTTTTAAAGCTATTGGCCAGCCTTGACATTAAAATGGTAGAAATTCAGTATAACTAGACTTTACCATCTATAGAAATATGAACTGGGTTCATGTTGTTAAGGATTTTTGACATAAATCATTACAGAAAATCCAAATCCTCTCCTTCAGGCAGTGAAGATCAGTGTTCTGCATACGTCACTCCAACACATAGAACAAGCTAGCTGTATTGTGAATGACTGTATTTTATTTACTGTCCTGCTCTTATTACAGAAAACTGTTTACAGCTGCAGCAAAAGGTCTGAGCCACATGTCCGTGTCCTACACGCATTTTTAATAACAGGTCTGATCTAAAATTATAACCTACATCTATAAATTCATCTGGAACCGCACCACTACTTCTGGACTCCAGAGTCCCGTTAGCATGACTGCTAACCGTATTAGCCCCGGTAAGGGAAAAACAAGTCATTTAGGAAAGCTACGACACACACACACACACACACACACACACACATATAATCTAAAAGATGATCTTGATATTTCAACACTAGATCCTCCTGGGACCAGCATCCTGGATTAGTGCAAACAACGAGCCGAGCTAGCGAGTTACTCCATCATCTGGAAGATTTAATCTGGTAAATTATCGGTTAAATATTTACCAGAGTTACATCAACGCACACACGCAGCAGTAAAACTGGCAGCACATTATTTATTTATCTGTAGATTACTGAATTATATTGGGACAGATGATGGAGCTAAGACCTGGAGTCAGCTGGGAGCTCCTGGTGGAGCATAGAGATGAAATATTTAACAAAAGTAAACAAACTGAACTGATTTTGGTTCTGAAGATGAACAGAATCTTCCCCAGTGTCCAAACCGGGTCTTCTGAGTCAAACGGTCTAAAACATGTCTGCACCTCCATGTCATGTCAGCCCTCCGAGCTTTTATCCCCACACACCACTTCACGGAACCTTTGATCCACATCTCAAAACCTCCTGGCTGTTCCTCGAACCGGACTAAAACCAAAGGGTACAGGGCCTTTCAGACAATTGCCCCCAGACTTTGGAACTGTCTGCCTTCAAAACTCGTCTCTCCAAAACTGTAGAGGTCTTCAAAAAACATTTAAAATTTCACCTTTTCATCCAGGCGTTCCCCCGCTAAATATTCTGAAAGATGGCTTTGTCTTTGTTCATACCCTGACTTTGTTTTTACTCCTGATTTTGTTCACTATTTTGTCACTGCTATTGATTTTTATGATCCGTTTTTATTCGTTTGAGGTATTTGTCCTGATTTTACTCATGTTGTACGGTGCTTTGTGATTCATATCTGTGAAAGGCGCTTTATCCGGTAGTGATATCCAGCTAGCGGGGGTCAGAGTTCAGATGAACTTCTCCGGTAATCCGATATCCGTTCTGGTCGCCGTATCCCAGAGGAAAAACCAATGTGACTGCCTAGCAGAGGCTTCAGAAGCTACATCTGACTGATGACATGCTCTGCTAATGCTAACGCAGAAACAACGGAGTCGGGTTGTTTACTACAGCTGTTTCAGCAGATCTCCTTGTGGAACGTCACCAGCTGTCCAGGACTTAGACCGGAAGTTAGTTTCCGTTTTTCCACCGCTAGTCACAAACATCAGATTTTCTTTAAATTCCAGCTGTGAAAATCCAAAGACTTTTTTCATCTGAGGTTTTAATACTTCTTTACACATGCCATTCAAAGGAATTTAGTCTGGCCGATATCTTTAAGATGTGTGATGTGTGATGAAGGTTCTGGGTTTTCACTAAAATGTCTCCAACAGGCTGCATAAAGAAAATGTTCCGTTAAAGGTCGTGCGTAGCTGTAAATGCACCACCAGTCCAGCACTCAGCCCACCAGGTTAACTGGTGACCAGTGGTAAGATGCTTTGGATAAAGGCCTCTGCTAAAGAAACAAACGAGCTGGCAAATGGTCAAAATCCAGATCGGGTACCTCATCTGATAGCAGCCTCTGAATAATCTCTGCATCGATCATCCTCCTCCACCATGGTGTGTGGTGAAAAGCTGCTGAAAAGCTGCTGCCTTGCTGCGACACCCTAACACGACTGAACCAGATGGTAAACTAGTGACCAGGTTTGCTTCACCATTACCTGGGTTTAACCACACAACATTTAATGGTCTTATCTCACAAACTTATGGCAAACATGCACTCCTCCATTTTTTGGGTGTGTCAAATTCTAGGTTATGTTTCTTTTGTGTGTTTGAAGTCGGGTCATTCTCTAACAGATGCAAGGCCAGGCCCAGTGTCGGCCCAATACAGTTGCTCTTGAAAAGAAAAGGGTGTAGAGAGAACAGTTCAAGGTTCCCTCTCATGTGCAATGTACATGGTTTACGCTCTAATTTCTTAAAGTAACGACTACTCAATGGGCTATATGTCCATGAGGTGTTAAGGAGCAACATTTCCCATTAGGTTTAGAAAACTTTCTCCACCCCTCTTTTGCTACTTCAGCTCAAGTGCAGCGGTCCCCTGGCTTGGCATGCAACAGCAGTATGGGTCACCCTGCAGCCTGTTCAGCTGCCAGAGCCCTTTGTGTACAAAGATGTTAATTGGTCCTAATCCGCCACTAGAAGCTGTTTTGGTAGCCTGACCTCACACCCAGAAGGACACCTTGGTGTGAAATACTAAAGAGCCCATTCAAGTGCGAAAGAAAAGAGGCACAGAGCATTCCAGCACAATTCAATTTCCCAGTTGAAAGAGGAGAAGGGAGGGGGAAGGGGGTAGAGACAGGAGCGCATCACCATTCTGACAATCAGTGGTACAAAGCGGTGGCTGCTGGGATGTGCAGCTTCACAATCACATCCTGGATCCTACTTCAAGAGATTCCCACAGTCCAGAGGGCCACGGGAACGCTAACCGCCCACTACTCACCACCGCTTCACTACAGCTCACCATAGCTGGTTTTCAAAAAGCACTACTCGGCCTGAAACAGCTCTGTACGGCGTGGTTCGAGTCAGCCCATCTGAGCCTACTTTTGTTTCCGTGCCAGCTCTGTGACAGAAAGTGGGCGCACCCCTAAAGGATGTGGGGGGAGTGGGGGGTGCACGTGATTTTAACTCGTTACAAAACGGCACGAGGTGATCAGTAGTGTAAGGCAACCTGTACGCTCCTCAGAAACACAAGTCGGCTGAAAAACGGTGTTGTTGCTGGACATTCTGCTCAGCTTTATGGCTTTTTGTCAGACTCTGAACCAGGAAAGGGCTGCAGGCAGTGAAGCAGAAGGCAGATAAGTCAGAGCAAGCAGTGACTCTGCCCCCTAGCCAACCCAACACAGGGTTTCCACCAGAAAATGAGTTAAGCCTGGCGGATTTGGCTGGGGGGGGGGGGGGGGGTCGCGCACTCCGTCCCACAGCGCTCCTCCGTGAGAACGGGGGTGGGGGGTTGCACAGGTTCCGCTGCCGTTTCTCACCAGTATCAGCTGATGGGAGGGCTCTAGTTTCGTTGCGCTGTTCGTGTCAGCGGACACGGTAGGGTCGGGGAGGGGGGTGGGGCATGACGCTTAGCCTGGCGGCCCACCAGGCTTATAAAGCGCTGGGGGAAACCCAGCAACATAACCTAACCCTAACCTCATCTAAATCGTAAATCACACGATTCCTCTAAAACCAACTGGTAAGTTTTTAAAAATGTGAGGACCACAAAAATGTCCTCACTTTGAAAAATGTCCTCACAATGTAGGGAAGTTGGTAAAACGGGTCCTCAGTATGTAGCAAGTACAAGTAAACACACACACACGTCGAGTAATTCTCGGCTCTAAGTGTAAGGGGTACTTGGTTTGTCGACGCATGGCCTCTCCTACAAGTCAGAACCAATTCAAGCCAGTAGTTCTGGTGTAATATTGGTGAATAAACACTAAAACACAACAGCAAACCTTCACAAGACTTTGCCTTGGCGATTGTAATGGAACAACCTTCAGAGTGACTTCAATACTAACCTTTATTTGAGAATGTGTGACAGGACATTCCATTTCATTTGTGCAATAAAACACCTAAATAACAGAGGCAATGTTTCAGGACCGACAGCACAATAACAAGCTTTCCTTTTCAGTCTGTAGAGTGTTTTGTGTTTGTAACTAAAGTCTGAAATGTCTGAACTTTAAAAATTAATTTAATCATTTGA